GAACACCATCTTGGGCCCCCTTGCATGCGGTTACGGGTTTGGGGTTTGGGGTTTAGGGTTTAGGGTTTAGGCTTAGGGTCGGTTTTGGGCTTAAGGGTTTAGGGCTGGGGTTCCAGGGTTTAGGGTAGGTTTTGGGTTCAAGGGTTTAAAGGTTGTGTTTTGGGTTTTAGGGTTTAGGGGTAGGATTTTTGGGTTTCATCTTAGGGTAGCTACATGCTCGGTCCCTTAGTATGGGTCTTTAAAAGGGGACGCTTTTACATCAGAACCCTGTAAAGGAGGTAAGGGACCATATCAAGGGCCCATGTAACTCCCCTCGGAGTTTAAGAGTCTTGGGGTTCAGGTTCTGGTGCAAACGCTGGGCGACCTGGCCGCATCTTGTGCTAGCATAGGTATCCGGCGTTTGGCTCGGACCCGGAGTAGGCCATTATTCCCTTGTCCTTATATTCATACGGCCCTGTAAAGCGAAAAGGGCGGCCTTTTTTATTCTGAGGTTCCTCTTGGGTTCATTGGGGCCTAGGGTGTGGCAGGCCCGTGGGACAGTGCGCATATTGCTCAGCTAACTTAGACAGCAGAGGTTGAATGGCCCTAAACCCTAAACCCTAAACCCTAAACCCTCAACCCTCAACCCTCAACCCTCAACCCTCAACCCTCAACCCTCAACCATCAACCCTCAACCCTCAACCCTCAACCCTCAACCCCTACACCTACGTCGTTTCAGGCCTCAGGGGCTTGATTTGTGTAGTTAGCTTCCGCAGTAAGGCACACGTGGGCCTTTGCCATAGGGTTTAGGGTTTAGGGTTTCTACTGGCATTTTTGCTGAGCTGAGGGTTTAGAGGTTGAGGTTTGTCTGAACTGGCCGAAGGGTTTCGGGTTTAGGGTTTGGGGTTTAGGGTTTAGGGTTTAGGTAGGGTTTAGGGTTTAGGGCATGCCATAGACCCCAGCTTTCTGGACATCAACTCCCCAGTGGATTTCATGCCTGTCCAGGTGTGTTCTCGGATCTGACAATGGCCCCCCGGATTGCACAAAGGGTTTAGGGTTTCGGGTTTCGGGTTTAGGGGTTGGGGTTTAGGGTTTGGGGTTTAGGCTTAGGGTTTAGGGTGGCTTTGGCTTTGGGGTTTGGGGGGGGTTTTCCGGGTTTGGGTTTTAGGGTTTTTTGGGCTATTTGCTGATCATTAGCCTAGAGTTTAGGGTTTCCGGGCTCAGCCAAGCCCACCGCAGCCCACCGCAGCCCACCCTAAACCCTAAGTCCTAAACCCTATACCCTAAACCCTCAACCCTAAGCCCCATGAGGTGTGGGAGGAGCCGGTCAAGACGCTGCTGGAGCTCATGCAGCTGGCGGGCCACCCTAAACCCCTAAACCCCTAAGCTCCTAAACCCCCAAACCCCTAAACCCCTAAACCCCTAATTAGACCCCTGAACCCCTAAACCCCTGAACCCCTAAGCCCCTAAACCCTAAGCTCTGTACGCCCTGTACGCCCGAGCCCCGCTAAAACTCGCCACCCTTATGCCGAGAACTCCGAGAACCACATGGGGTTTAGGGTTTCTGGTTTGAGGTGTCTAGGGCTTTCGGGTTGTTCTAAACGTCCTCTTAGGGGATGGAGCATGGTCGAGGAGTCTCCTGAGAATGAAGCCTTGCATACAAGGGAGCCTTCCGTGTGGTTATTTTGAGGACAGGGATGATGAACAGCTACCATATCAGTCCATTACTCCCCCGTGCCCTAAAGCCCAATCCCATGACACAACGCCCGAAGCCACAAGCTTGGGTACTACGACCTGACTTAATACGGCGATAGCAGACAGGGTAAAACTATACATGTGATGCAGTTGCCAGACCTACAACCCTATAAGCAGCCTTTTCACCACCCGTATTCCCGACCCCCTAAACCCTCACCCTCAACCCTCAACCCTCAACCCTAAACCCTAAACCCTAAACTATAAACCCTAAACCCTAAACCCTAAACCCTAAACCCTAAACCCTAAACCCTAAACCCTAAACCCTAACTCTAAACCCCGAACCATCAATGCAGGTGAACCTGGACCTGAGCATCCTCAAAGTGGAGTGCATCGCGCCCCGACTTCGGATAAAGATTTGGGGAGGGGTTCATCCAGCCCTAAACCCTAAACCCCAAACCCTAAACCCTCAACCCCAAACCCTAAACCCTAAACCCCAAACCCTAAACCCCAAACCCTAAACCCGAAACCCCAAACCCCAAACCCTAAACCCCAAACCCGAAACCCGACAACGGGGGCTGGTAAAGGGCCCCGGCGATTTCTTGTTTGTTGTCTGGATTGAGGCTTGTCGTGCAGGAGCCGAAAAAAAAGCTACCAACATGCAATAAGTTAATATGGCAATAGGCCCCGATACGAGGGGGGGACCAAACGTTTAGGGCCGGAGGCTTGTTTCGTGTTTCAGGCTTTAAGTTCCAGGTGTTAATGGGCTTTTAACATGGCCGGCTGTCATGTTCCTTAGCCTAGGTCGGGCGCCAACCCTAAACCCTAAACCCTAAACCCTAAACCCTAAACCCTAAACCCTAAACCCTAAACCCTAAACCCTAAACCCTAAACCCTAAACCATGGTCTCCCTTATTGGGTTGAGGGTTTAGGGTTTAAGGCTTCGGTGCGCAGGCCTTTAAACCCCAAACCACATGCCCATCAAACCCAAAAGGGTAGACTCCAAAACTACACGGTTTAGGGTTTAGGGTTTAGGGTTTAGGGTTTAGGGTTTAGGGTTTAGGGTTTAGGGTTTAGGGTTTAGGGTTTAGGGTTTAGAAATTAGAAATCCTAAAATCCGAGCCCTATAGCCTAAAGCCATAGATCCTGAGCCTTTAAAGCTTTACTAGTTGAGTTTCGGTTCGGGTGGCTTAAGCTGCTTGCGCCAGATGGGGAATGAAGATCCAGCACTTTCCTTGCTGGTGCTCCTTGGGCCTTAATAGCTTTCGGGGTGCGCAGGTTCTTTTCTTTTTTTGTGGGGGGTTTAGGGTTTAGGGTTTAGGGTTTAGGGTTTAGGGTTTAGGGCTTAGGGTTTAGGGTTTAGGGTTTAGGGTTTAGGGTTTAGGGTTTAGGGTTTAGGGCTAGGGTGAGGGCCTAAACCCGGAGCCCTGTACTGGCTTCTAGGGGATGAGGAAGGTGGAATATCATGGGAGCCAGACACACCCCGAACATTGACGCCCAAATATTGGGATCCACGCAATGGCCTCAAAACGGTACCCCGAATATCGGACACCCCCATATTCCGATGGCTCATTCGGAGCTGCATGGCGTGCGACCCCAAGCCCAACATGGGAAGGGTCTAGGGTTTTAGGTGCCAAAGCAGCATCCATGTGGATCCAACGGTGCTATCACCTTAAACCCTAAACCCTAAACCCTAAACCCTAAACCCTAAACCCTAAACCCTAAACCCTAAACCCTAAACCCTAAACCCTAAACCGCTCTCCCTTTACACAAGCTACGTGGAAAGACCCTGGGGGCTTTGATGCCCGCGTGCTTCGGCCACTGAGTCCAGAACCCCAACCCGAAGCAACTAGAAAAACCTCGAAGGGTTTAGGGTTTAGGGTTTCGGGTTTAGGCACAAGGGGGTCGTTTGTGCCTTTTCTTGCTTAGCAGCTGGGTAGATAGCCTCTAACCTTTTGGGGTTTAGGGTTTATAAGGTTGGGTTTAGGGGTTAGGGTTTCGGGACAATCCTACCATAATTGAAAGCTTAACCTTTTTTGGGCCAGGGTGCTCAGCAACTAGACTTGGGTCTGCTTTCTGAGTGTCATCTTATGGTTGAAGGTACCATAAAGGGCCCCATTTTCCGAACTCCCTCAAAAACCCTAAGCCCCAAACGCTACAAACCCTACAAGCCCTCAACGCCCTAAAACCCTACAAACCCCAAACCCTACCAACCTCAGACCCTAAACCCTAAACTTTGGCCCTGAACCCTACGAACCCTAAACCCTATTTATAAACCCTGAACCCTACAAACCCTACGGCAACCCTAAGAAACCCTACTCTGAACCCCAAACCCTAAGCCCTGCAAACCCTGCAAACCCCAAACCCTAACCCACCCCCCCCCCCCCCCTTCCCGGCCCCTAAACCCTAACCCCTACACCCTAAACCCTTTAAAACCCTAAACCCTAAACCCCAAGACACGAGGATCCTGCTAACGCTCCCGGGGCTCTGCGGGCTCGGGGGCGCTATGGGCTGGATGCTGGCGAGAGTGCAGCTGGGCTCGAAGTTGGGCTTGGGGCTTGGGGTTTGGGGTTTGGGGTTTGGGGTTTAGGGTTTAGGGGGCGCAGGGAGGGCTTAGGGTTTGAGGCGTTTAGGCCGTGGGGGGTTGGGATTAGGCAGATGGTAGTGGTAGGTGCTCTGAGTCCAGCCTGGACGGGGCTTCCAACTACTCGTTCGGGGTTTAGGGTTCAGGTTTCAGGGTACGTTGGTCCCGAAAGTACAATGCTTAGCATGGCCATCGGCGGGGTTCTATGGCGTCCGCGCCCCACGTTCTCTGGATCGCCCCTCCCCCCCCCCCCCCCCTGGTACCTAAACCCACCACGACCCCAGGAAATTAGGGTTTAGGGTTTAGGGTTTAGGGTTTAGGGTTTAGGGTTTAAAAAAACCCAAACCCTCAACCCACCATGAACCGGGGCCCGTGGGGAGTCGGACCAGAGGGGTGGTGAACAAGAATGCCAGCGCATATTCAGGAGGAACACGTTCTGTTCTAGGGCCGAAGCTAACCCGAAGCCCAACCCTAAACTCTGAACCACCCTAAACCCTAAACCCTAAACCCGAAACCCTAAACCCTAATCATAGGCTTCCGTAGCAATTCCAGATGGTACACCGTCCCACATGAGATCAACGTTCCAGATGGGTTGTGCTATATCTGCTTGCTTGTGGTGGGCTAAACGAAGAGGCAACATTTGGCTTCAGCTGCTGTGAGTCCCTTGCTGTGGGTTCATATGCATTCATGTACGGTTTTGCACATGTGCTCTTGCAGTGTCTGTACTTGTAAATCTTTCTTGACCATGGTGAGCCATGCCGATCTCCCGGCGCACATTGTCACCATGCTCCAGCAGCACTGCCCATTTGTTTTCACACACCAGTACACGATCGATCCCAGTCCCCACCGCTTCCTGGACCTGTTAGAGATATTTGCCGGGGCCGGCCGCCTGAGCAAATCTGCCGATGCGGTTTCCGGGCTTGAATGGTTTGCGGTTGTGTCTTTGCTGCTACTCATCATGATGTTCTCACCAACTCCATATCTTCGAAGGTTGGTCTTGTCTCTAGCGACTACGAAATTCGTCGTGATGTCAGAGAAGATGCCACAACTCCCGAGGGACAGTTGTTGTGTACTCTGGCTGCAATCTATGAACTTTCTTGCGCGTCTGTTGTTTTAGAATTGTTGTTGCTTCTAGTCGTTTCTAGTCTCAGGTTTGAAGAAATTGGTGGCTGTCAAGAAAGGCGGCCTGTGCTACAGTGCCCCTCCCTGTGGCTCTTTCGTACCTGCCTGTGTTTCGCAATCGCTGCTTGTCCCAATACATTTTCTTAGGAATCGTTTGAAGAATGTTTTCTACTTTTCTTTTCTCTACCCTTGCAACATCAGGTTAAGGCATATTAATGTTCTTGGTGATCGCACAAAATCTTTCGTCGTGGCTGGCAACACGATTGCTGATGCTTGGATGAAGATAGTAATGTTATTCTGATTCATTCATTCATTCTATCATGCACAATGGTTCTGTCATCCCAGGATTTTGACAGCTCCTTGCAGATATTCGCACGCAATGCTGGCATTTTTCACCTCTACGAACAGCCGTCCTCATCCTACATGCCTCATCTTCCCTCGAAGCAGGAGTTTTTTTTTTCTAAGTTTGTTTGAAAACCTCAGATTAGGAACCGGGCTTTTTTGTTTATTCACACCAGGATTCATTCATGCGATGCGGTCACACGCGCGTTGCCTTTCGACTCGGTTGCTTTGCTGCTCACAGCCCGCTGCTAGGTCGAATTTTGTGGGTTTGTGCAATGCATCTTAGCATGTTCCTTACTAAGAACAACAAGCCTGGAGCCTCAGGAAGCCTATGCAACTTGCTGGTTCGGATGAGTTCATGTTGCAGTGCCTTCGATTCCTGGCCCGACATCCTTTGATGATTTCAACGCTCCCTGTCGAAATGTATTTGATCGCACAGTGGTAAGCATTTGACGAGACATTCCGTCAGATTCTCCTTCCCAGGTTTCTGGAACGCGCAACGCAGCGCTTAGCAGTGCGTGGAGATGACGGGCGCGCCTGGCGCGGCAAGGCTGGAGTCATGAAGGATTCTCAACATTATCCTTGGACTTTCGGCAGCGCTGCTCCTTGCCGAAGATTCAGCTTTGTAAGCTCTCAGTTCAGCCTGGGTTTGAAAATTTTGGTTCACGTCGGGTTTCCCAGCTTTTGCTGCTTCGCAAAAGTGTCCCTCCTCAACGCATTGTGGCCAATTTGGGGGACTTTCTAGGGCGCATCGTTCAGCACTTGGTTCACCAGGACTGTTATTATTTGTTTGTTTTTTTAATACCTTCAGGGTTTATTATTGTTTGTTTGTGTAAGTTGGATTTGTTGCAGGACCTGGACCATCGTGTTCAGCAGGTTGATGTCGTGGATCTCCTCACGCAGACTGGCCGTCGGCATGTGCCAGCAGTGCCCAACATACACGCATCTTGAATTGCATTCGCTTAAAGTCTACAGTTGACCTGTTTCCTGTTATGTTTGCTAGTAGGTTCTGGTTTCTATAATCAGGTCCATCGTATTACTGTACCTCCTGGCCCTCCTGCTGTTGCTCCTGTTGCAGCTGTGCCAATGGTGATTGACATCACATCAGATGATGATGGTGATTTCGAGATGGTGGATGTTTCCTGATTGAAAGTTGTTTGCGTGTCTTTCAGACAGAGTTGATTATCTCTGGGCTGAAATTCATAATTTCCCAGGCTGACGGTGATCTTTAGACTGCTGCCAGCGTACAAAGAGTTGCTCGGTTTGCAAAGAGGGTCTGGTTTTTGTTGCTTTTGGGTATTCAACCCGGTTTTGATATCGTTTCTGCTTAGGATCCTGCTGATATTGCCTGTGGTGGGCTAATTAAATGTTATTCTGCTGCGCAACACAGGCTCCTTAGTCTGTTAATTCAGAATTTGTCGATTGCCTTTCAGCTCTTTTGACAGAGCTGTTGCGCAGGCGGTTAGTAAAATCGCCAACTTCAGTGTCAGTTGTGCAGAATGCAGCATATGCGTTCATGTTGTGGCAATTAATTAAGTTATCTCTCAAAGTTTTTGGGTTCACTGAATTTTGCGGTTGTCTGACGTAACAGACTCTCGGTTAATAATTTTTTGGGGATGTTCTGAACGACGACGTGTGGAACGCCGGCCTCATCTGCTGGCTCCGAAGCTGGCGGGGGGGGGTGGTTATCGAGGGTCTAATCTCCTCTATAGACTTCTTGCCGGTCATGCCTGGTCGCGTGCAGCGGACTCTTCGACTTTACAGCATCTCTATTTTGTTTGGCTTGCGTGCTAGTTATGGTTGAAAGCCACTTTTTTTTGCGAACAGGGCATGCGATGCCAATAACTTAGAATGACAGGCGGAACCTCGCCAGTGCCGGCCATCTCTTCCAGGCGCGGTTTTTGAACGCCAGGCGTTTAACGCCAGCTCACAGATTGCAAACCATGGCGAATCATCGCCAGTAGTTTTTGCTGGTCTCTTAGTGTTATTCTAATTACCCAAATTAGAGGCTCTGTGAAGCCATCGTTCTCATGAGGCAACACTATTGCCAGTAGTTTTTCGTTACACAATAGAATCCATCAGTCACAAAACATCAGGTGCGGACTAGCCGCCAAATATGTTCCCTTTTTACTGACTACAGGCATATGACTGCCAGCCCTTATACCCCAATTATTTGCATTTGAAATTCTCATCAAAGACACATTCATTTACACTGGGCAACACTAATTGCCAGTAGTCTTTATTAGAGCCTTGTAAAAGCTAGTACGGCGCGGACTAGCCGCCAAGTACGTTGTTCGTGTATCAGACTGGAGGCACCTCGTTGCCAGTATAGTTTTATGTTTTTTTATACGAAAATGTGCATTGTTTTGTTTTTCTTCTCAATTCAAGAAAAGCACTTATAAATATGTAGGTTCTTCTACATCATGTTTTTAAAGTTAGAATGATAATGTAATTATAAGCATCAGGACTAACTCCACTCGATCATTGCCTGAGTCCACGGAGTCACCACCGAGTGCTCACGAATTTCTTTTGGGGAGTGCTGCAGCATCGATCAGACAAGCCTTGGGATTCTTGTCTTTTTTCTTGTGCTCTATAGATAAGTAACGAGACAATTCGTTCTTTTCTTTCTTTTCTTTATTACGAACGAATATTTTTTTGTTGCTGTCAGGAGATGCAGAAAGCAAAGGTAAAGACAAGAAGGACAAGAAAGCTGAACAGAAGAAGCGCAAGAAGCGTAGCTTGTGCAACAGGGTTTTCGGCATTTGTTCTTTCCTATATCTATGCTTGTCTGAGTCATGGTCTATCCCAGGTAAGACGACTTCAGAGTCGGAAAGTGCAGACGAGGAAGTCCACGAGGTCGATAGGCAATCCTTCTTCAAGATAACACCCAAGGACATGCAACGGGGACAAGGACAGAACAAACTCGAGGATTTGGGCATGAAGCAACTTGCTTATTGCACGTGTTCGCTGTACGACTTTGTGCTACCGTCGGATATCATCGAAGTTGGTGGGGAGTGCGAGACTTTCTTGGCATTCTAATAGACCGAGATGGCTGTTTTCAGATATCTTCTTGTTATCCTTTACACTACATTCTCCATTCTGACAGTTTCGAGGAAGCTCTTCTTCTCGAGTCAGCTCAGCGCTTTAAGCGTCAGAAGGACAAGGCGAATGAGAGTGCGACTGTGCACAAGGCGTCATTCTCTGTGTGCGGATTATCCTTTCTTGTCCTCTTTTATTTTTTTGTACAGTTTGCGTTTCTGTCGCTTCTGGATCTCGTGCAGGCCAAAGCTGCAGCCAATCTCTGGAGAAAGAGGCTCTCCCGTATTGTTTTTCTTCGAAACTTGGATGTATTAAACTTCGTATCATAACGGAGGAATTGAATGCAGCGTGTTTTGTTTGGTTTCTTGAACTAAGTTTGTGGGAAGAAGCCTGGCGATATTTCAATCACATCTGCGAAGACGCTTGACGATGTGCACACTCTTCTCGTTTCCTCTGCTACCAAGTATCGCAGGCCTCTGCTTTGGCTTTTTTCTGTTTTTCCGCAACAGTTACTATGCTTCTTTTGGTTTTGGTTTAAGGTAAAGATTTCTATCATACATAGGATTTCATGAACCTCATCATGTTGCACAATCACATTATTATCTGTTCTTCTCTATTCTCCATTTTTCTCTTTCTTCTTACGCGTTGTGAGCCAGGCAGCTTGGACACAGCAAAGAGAAGCTCATGAAGTCCTACGATCAGCTCATGGTGGAATTGAAGAAGGAGACCCGATTGCTTGCGCAGTCTTAGTCTGGCTTGCACTTATGTAACACGTGACTTCGATTTGAACTTGCATTCTCATGAAGGATGACCCTGTTGTGTTTTGTAGTTTCCTCCTCTCAACATCTCAGCAGCAGACACTAGCCATACGTGCCATGTCTTCATCCTCGCAGCAAGAGCTGGTTGATGCCATTGTGGCTGGTGTTGGACGCCTGGTGGCACCCACGGCTTGGGAGGTGGAGATGCGTGAGAGAGAGGTGATCAGACGTGAAACCCAGCTGGAGGAGCTGGAGCAGGAACTCAAGGACAGAAGAAACGTCTGGCTGAGCATGACGAGTTCCTCAAGTTCAAAGAGAGTGGTTTGAAGTCATGGGAGAAGGAACTCGAGGAGGCATGGGCTTTGTTGCGAGAGCAACAACAGCCTGCAGATGCACCGGGCAATCGACGCGCAGTGTGTGAGCAGTGCGGCAAAGGACGCTGCACACGCAGGCATCGTTGTTATTTGGATGATGGTTCGATTGCTTTGCACCATCACACTTGCTACCAGTGCCATGAGCAGTGGAGGTCGCGTCGTTGCAAGGGATTCCCCAAAGGGGGACCCTGGGAATCTTGAGCCTGCCGACTAGAGTATGAGCCAATGCGAAAAGATTTCTCTCTCGGACCGGCAAATGTTGTGCCGTTGCTAGCAGGCATCAGGTGCTGCGTTTGCCACACCACACGAAGCACGCGGCAGCATGAGTTTTCTTGCAAGTTTGCTTGTTTTAGCCGCGCGCAATTGATAGAGCAGGTCCCTTGCTCGAGCTTACTGTGCCAGCGAGGGCTTTGTCTACTGGGGGTTGCAAACATGGATTCCCTCACAACGCCGCCGGCCTTGACTCCGGAGTTCCTTCAGCTGCTGAATCGGGCTTTGACGCAGCCGCCGCCCGCTGTACCTCCGCCCCCGTCGGTGCTGCCGCCAATGATGCCGCCATCTATGTTGCAGGCCTGGGAGCAGAATCGGCTGCAGAGGTTGGAAAACCAGCAGTCCCAGTTTGCACTGGCTGCAGCACAACAGCTTCTGCAGGCCTCCTCAACACAAGGCCCTGCCAATCCTGCCCAGCAAGTGGCTGCAGCACCTACGCCCTTGATGACCCAGAGCACGCAGCAAGCAGGGCAGCCAACGCAGCCCACACAGAACCCGCAGCCGACGCCGCCCACGCAGCCCGTGCAAGCTGCTGCTGAAGGGGCAAAGACGCCGTGCAAGGACCGCTGTCCGGAAGAGGGTGGTCGAGCCAAGGAAGCATCGACTGCAGCTCCCGGCAAAACACTGCGGCGAGTGGGCCATTTCGACATGGACAGTGGGGTTGTCGAGCTGTTTGCACGCTTCATCCCGCGTGAGGAGATCGAGAAGAACCTCAAAGCCAAGAGGCGCAACCAGGACGATGAGGACCGTGCACGCTCTACGCGCAAGAGGTCTCCGGAGCCAGACTCTTCTGCTGACCGGGGCCGTGACAAACATCGTCGACGTGAAGATGACTCACCACGTAGGGAGAGGTCGCGGGAGCGCAAGGAGGACAGGGGAGCTTCGCCGAGTCCCCCCACTGCCAGTACACGTTCGACGCCTGCGCCCAAAGCTGCTCCCAGGGGAACCGTGGCATCGGCCTTAAGCCCGGGTACCGCATCGGCTCTTGCTGCCAGAGAGAAGTCTCGACCGAAACCTGTCTGTTTCAGTTTTACTATTGAAATTTTCTTAACTCTAAACCTTAAGGAATATCTAAACCTTTAACCCTAAACCCTAAACCTTAAATCTTAAGCCCTTAACACTAACCCTTAAACTAAATTCGACACGTGACTCAGGAAAAAGCCTGAAGAACGTGAAGAAGAGCCCGTTGTGATCGCCGAAGAAGAGGCGGTGGAGACGGCGCCCGGTCGTGCACCCAGGCAGAGAGGTGGACAGTGGATTAGGGACAAGTACACCGGCGAGTACTGGAACAAGTATTGGTAGGTTAGCCTTGCCAGAATGATCTTTCTTTGCTGGAGATATGACTCCACTAATTCAGAGCTGCACCTTTGCACTTTTGCCCGCTTGAGACAATAAGAGCTGCTTGCCTTTGCCACACATGAGCGTGATGTATAGGAAACGATATATGTTTATTTCTGTTCCTAAACTCTCTCCTGACAGGAGGCCGACGTGGACGTCAAGCAGCTCGCCTCCGTCAAGGAGCCTGCGAAAGATTCGGAGCTGGCAACTCCGAAGAAGCAGAGGAAGCCCAAGGCCAAGTCCGCAGGTGGTATGCGTCGTCGACGCAGAAGAGTGACCCCGCGCAAGATAGATTTCTCGGAGCACAAATCCGACAAGAATGCCTCGGACAAGGAAGAAGAGGAGCACCGTTCACCTTCTTGGCCTGTGGACTCTGGGTCACAGTCTGATGGGGGCGACGACGACCTCTTCAAGGGTCAATTTGCCAGACCGTTGGCAGACAAAAACAGAACGTCGCGCAAGTCTGCTGCTTCGTCCCGGAAGAAGCAGCGTCGGGACAAGAAGGAGCCGGACGAGACCGAGAACCAGGAATCCGAGGAGTCCGAAGTCGCGAAGAGCCAGGATGGAACTGTAGATGACAAGGGTGCCACCTACCGAGGCAAGGAGGAGAACCGGGACGCGGAAGAAGTCACAAATCTCATGGGTCAGATAGACGATGATCTGGCCAGTATCCTTCCTGCTGGTGCAAGTCGGTGTCCTGGCAGTTTTCAGTAATTTTTCTATTTTGCAGCGTATGTGTTTCAATCAGAGGTCAGACTTGAAGCTTTTCATTAACATCCTCATTGAGGAGGATATTACGACGCTGGAAGATGCAGTGGATCTTCTTTCCAATATTGAAGGCTATCTTTTTCTTTTGGAGTTTACATTCACTTTTTGTTTTGCTCTGTCAGGTGACATTCTTGATCACATGGGCCAGAATGCTCGACTTTTCGCAAACAATCTGACACTCAAAGGAAAACGGCTCCTGAAGCAGTGGCCTGTGCTGCTCAAGGACCTACCCAAAACACTAACTAACGCCTTAACCTACCAAAATCCCTCAACCCTAAACCCTTCATAAACCCGTAAGTCAAAACCGTAAACCCTATCCACCGAAACCTAAACCTTGAACCCTAAACCCTGAACAGATTGGAGGAGCTCAAGTCCGGAGAGGCCACAGCTCCAGAAGCTCTTCCCGTTACAGACGGAGCGGCTTCTTGGACTGATGTGGTTGCTTCCACGTGCTTCGTGTACTTTTTGTTTGCACGAGGCAGACAAGTGATGCACCCTTGCGACCTGAAAGAGCCCGGATCCCTTCCTGTTTGCTGTGGGAAACAAAGATGCAATATGCCCAGTGTGTTCGTGCGACTTTCAGTGCCTGACCATATATTCGCTCGCCTGCAAGGCTCGACTTGTGATGACGTGTGCAATGTGATCATGTAAAGCTTCTTCCCCATCTATGCTCTATTTAATGTCATACTCAGAAAACATAGCAACACAGGTTCTTGAGATATACTCTACTTGACATATCGCAAGTGAGACAGATGCACGTGTGGTAGACGCCATTAGCTTGCATTGGTCCCTATTTTTGCTGGTGCCCGGGCGGCAATTTTGGGGGTGGGCCAGTTCTTCGTGTTTAGTATTAGGACCGTTTCCCGGGGGGGGGGGAACCTGTTCAGCGTTCTGGATGTGACGACTGCGTTCTGAATGGTTTAGCCAACCCAGGCCAGCGACATACGCGTTCTGGATGGGACACAGCGTTCTGCATCGACAGGCACGTGCGTTTCGCGTTCTGCACGGGTCAGCAACGTTGGTCCTGCCTCGCACGTCACGCGCGTGTACAAAGTCTCATGTGGAACTCTGATCCTCCCACCCTACCCAAATGTGGCATTTTGATAGTGTCTCAGGGAAAATGCTGCTTTTCAGCGTTCTGGACCAACACGTGCCACTTTTGCAACAGCGTTCTGCATGAGCCTCAACGTTCGGTTCTGCCTCACGCGTGACGACGCGAAAACGGTTTCAGACGAAACCATCCAGAATGCTGTTCAGCCCCAGGCCATCCAGAACTCTCTGGCCTGGGCCCGGAATGGAGGCCTGGCTCCAGAGCAAGATTAAAGAGGCGTGGGAGACTCCTGGCTGCAAATGCGTTCTGAATGGTTACAGCGTTCCAGATGGACCATTGTTTTCTTGTGAACTAGAAGAAATCAACACTGAAAAATCATCTCGACTAGGACAGAAGATGCAGGGGAGAAGCAGAAGCTCAAGGAAGCTTTTGATGTCCGCGTGGTCTACTTTGATGACAGAATACTCACTGGAAGTGTGGTCAGACTTGCTTCCGGTGACGTTCCTTTGCCCACGCCAGAGGTTTGGGAGGCAGTCTGTTTTCTTTTCATGTGTTGCGATTACATGTTATAACTTTATGTTTCCCGAGCAGGCCCTTTTGAACAAGTACAGGGCACAAGCTGCAAGAGCCGGCCTCCTCATCCGACCCAACTTGAACATCAAGTTGGGTGTGAAAGAGAGTGAAAGAGAGGAGGCAGAAGCTGAGAGGTGCTTGGAGCCAGAGCCCCATGCGGGCCCGAACTCCCCAAGGGAACCCGAGTACACTCAGTCGGAAAGCCTCTACTTGCAGACGCACTCCGTGAAGCATGGTGTCTTTCAAGTTCAAAGAGTGCCTAATCTTGAGATTCGTGTGTTCATGCACTGACTCATGTTCTACGTGTGAATGCAACACGCAAGCTCTGGTAGCAAAAGGTGTGCGCCGAGAAACATGCTGGCGGATATAGGTTGTTCTGGCGGGTCGGAGAGCTGTGGCCGTTATTGCAGAGAAAGCAAAAATTCTTCAATTGGTTTACCAAGTTGAATCTCGGACCACAATCATGACGGATAGAATGTACGTATGTTTAGTATCGCAGAACGCCGCAGCAATTAAGGAAGGAGAACATGACCATGCAGATGTCCGAGTCTTGGGCCATCGACTTCGAACTGCACATCCCGAGAAAATGCGGATACAAGGGCTCGCAGGTAAAGGTGAACGAACAAGCTGTCCGTTTATCCTGCGATGCGGTCACCAATCTAGGAGCCCTGTTCATGGCCTTCCGGCTGCTTCTAGTCGCGAAAAAAGATGTCTAGCGTACGTGCAAGAGCTAGGGATTACAAAAAAGAGCCCAGGCTGTCAGCGTTCTACAAGTCAAGGGCTGCAAGAACAACCTGAAGAAGGGAACGCAGAGCGTCCTGGACCTCATGATCGCCAATGCCTGCCCCGCAGATCTGGAAGTAAACTTCTTGCCGAACGTGCGGTCATGCGACTTGGCGTCATTTTCACACACACACACACAAACGCTGTCTTTGGCGAAGAGTTGAAATGGATTCCTTGGGTCGAGGCCACGTGAGATTCCGCGAACATCACGTTGACTTGGTGGATTGGGAAGATTGTTTGACCTACTTGGGATGGTGGCAGAGGCCAGTGGCACCGTGTCCAAAATGACAACTATGTTGTCAGCCGACACAGGTGGAAAAGAAACAAGAACCTGAGTCATCAGCAGAGAAGCCTGACGGCAGGAGAACTGTTAGTCCTGTGTTTTCCTCCACACAAACGAGAGCAACCTTAGCTTGGCAGGAGTCAAGCTGTCTGTGGTCGTCTTCTTCGTTATGCGCATGGGCTTCGAAGAGCTGTGTGCTGAGGAGCTGCTAGGTCGAATACCTTTTCCGTGATTTTTTTTGTTCCGAGATAACACAGGACATACCAGTTGGTCGAGTTCAGAAGCGGCTCCTGCACACGCTGGCACAGCACATGGAAACCAACATGAATGACAAGCTACTAGATGAGCTCCCGGCGCCGAGCTCCAGGGATGATTTTCACCCCGCAAAGAGGCAGGATTGCGTGCTTCTACTTGGTGTTTCATTTGTTGGTTGAGATGCTGACAGGGATGGCAGAGAGCTGAAGAAGGAGATGAAGCCAAAGCATGTTATGAGCCTTCAACGTTGGTTTTCCAAGCCTTCTGGACTAGCCACCTCGAGATCGGATGACAAGACCCTGGAAGATCTGGGATTGAAAGACATATGCCCTGGTCAAACTCACAGGAAGCTTGGGCGCAAGAAGACCCTTTGTCTCCTAAAAAACAAAAGCAAAACCAGGCTGTCATCCGACTACATGGTGCGATACTGCCGCAAAGCCTGCACAGCTGTGCACCAGGCCACTGGGGATATTCATTGTAGGGAGAGCCATAGATATCTTGCTGCAGGTGCTATCAGGTATGAAGTTCAAGTCCATCAATGTGCTGTGCGACACATCCCCGAAGGGGCGCATGGATGAATTTGAGCTGCAAGCAGTGGAGGTCTCGCAAGTTCGCTTCTGGGCTGACTGGCAGTGGTTCTGCTTGCATCTCAAGCCTAGTTGTTCGTGCCCATCATTGCTGTGGACGAGACGGTGGTCTGCTGGGTTCTGCAAAAGATGTCGGACTTGAATGCCAGCACAGCGGCGACGGATGTGAAACTGGAGGAGTTGCAGAAGGTTACAGACCACATCTCTGCAAAGATGATAGAAAAAGAGTCAGTGAAGACAACGACGTCCAAGCTGTGCCTTTCCTGAAACATTATGGCTTAGTAGCACTGTTTTTCTGCATGCAAGTTGCGCCTGCAGAAGGCCGAAGACACTGGCCAAGATACGCCAGCAGCGAATCGCTTCCAAAGAGCAGCTACGTGCCTTGATGCACGTTCTTTCTCTGTGCGACGTCACCCTGCGAATGCCTGAAATCTCTCTGGATGCCGTCAATCCTGCTGAGAATGAACGCAGAGACAAGTACAAGGGCAGACCCTTCATCACGAACTTGTCTACTGGTCAGTCGCGTTGGATTTCGGCAATGGACGGGGATGACTACAACCGACTGGTCTTGTCCCCCGACGAGGGAGGGCCATTGTACACGGCCTGGCGTTTTGTGCGAAGCTGAACTTACCCATCGGCTTCAACCGCGACGAATTGCAACGGGAAAGCATTAGACACAATCAGTCTTTTCATGCTCGGGCACACCGGACGGAGCCGAGGCACAAGATACATGCTCATTTCTCGAAGATGTTGAGTTGCAACAAGAGCGTGGCCAGAAACTTCACTGTGAATAATATTAGATTTGGTAATACGACCCTTTTATTCTTCGGTCCACGCATGCCCACCGAGGAATGCACTGTCTCACGCAGTGGGCCATGCGGGCACGCAAGTGCCCTTGGAACACGCACAAGATGGATTCCGCTTTGAAGGACGCTATGACGCGATACCTGAATGTCGCAGCACGAACGCATCTTAGGATACTTTGTCCTGGAAACACAGACGCAACAGAGGAGAGAGTTTAAACCGTAAAAAGTCTTCGTGTTAGTGTTGCTTTGTCTAGGCTCACGCGGATGATCTGTTGCAGCAGCTGTACGCAGAAGACATCTTGGCTGAGAATCTTGGAATAACAGACTGCTCTCTAGTGGCTTTGACACTTCTTCTCTTGGCAGACAAGGAACAAGATTCCGTACACGGATGACATGCAGCTGAACTTCAAGAATGTGGTTGAGATTTTGCACAAAATTTTCAGGCCAGTGGTTAGAAGGTGGTAGCAGCGCAGGCTGACGGCTGATTCTCGATTTTGAGCCGCAGGAAGACCGGGGCATTGCACGAGTACAAGCGGTGGTGCAGTTGGGGCTTAACAGCCCGCTCCTTTCAGTACACTGGCACTCTTCTTGCCATGCTGTGGTCAGCTATGGAAGATTCTCATCTAGCATCAAAGCTTCAACATGCTTGAGGTCTTCTTTTGATTACAGAGTCAGCGTCAAGAAAAACTAAGGAAGGGAGAAACCCGTTCACTGATCCGACGCCGAGCACCAGCCAGCAGTCTTCGCAGTACGAGCGTGTCATGGGTTTGTGTATGAAGGCCGAATTCATAGCATCGGTTTGCCAGTCTATGGGCTAAAATGATGCCTGGAGGCGTTACTTGATGACAACGCCCGCGCTCTCTACGAGGCTATGCAGCCCTTGTGCGATCCGTTCTGCGACATGACCTTGGCTCTTGCTTCTAAACTGCAAGAAAAAATAAAAGAGATGATTTGCGTGTTCGTGTTTAAATTGTTTTGGAGGTAATCAGAAATCACACAAATGAACTAAGCAACGCTCCGTGTCCGACCTGCTCTCCCTACACCGACACACCTTGTTCGTGAACGGGCCTGACTTCGAGACTTCAATGATCGAGATGACACGGAAAGCTTTCTCGCACGCTGGGGTACAATGCCTGAGACTCCCCACTGAATCCACGGTGGACGTACCGCAGATGAACAGCCACGTGTCTTGTCGGCAAAATGATAGTGATTTGACTTCTTGAACAACATGTTCAGTCGTGCTTCTTGCCAGGATGCAGAGTCGATGAGTGGGGCTCAAATTTCTTTCATCTGGCCTTAAACAACGCGTAGCACAAGCCATGTCCAGTCCCTGCGTCGAAAAGGTGGATACGAACGCCAAGATGATGAAGAAATGGGACATGATGATCGCAGGCCACAAAAAGCAGGTTGATTATCGCTTCGTGAAAGAGAACTTCGACCAGTTTCTCTCCAGCTCTTCAAGCGACATATCACCGCCAGTGACGCCACGCATTGTCGAGAACACACCAAAGAGAAAGCGAGAGGTTATCGCCAAGAAATGGCGTTGCAAGATCAGGTCGCTTTATGCTCAAATGTGTGGGCCAGTTCGTGTGGAGGTGGACCGCGAAATGTACAACCCAGCTCTGAAACCCGCAAAGGTGAGTCCCAGCATTTTAGGATTGGATGTCTGAATTCAGTTCACTTAATTCGTTCGCAGACGGCTGTTAGTCTGGTGACCCGTGGGAACCCACGTGCTCGCCTTGCAACAATGAGACGTGCTGCTTGGTGCAAGATGAGAAAGAAGTAATCCTTGCGCAGGCTGCGCAACAGCATGTTGCACTTGCGCCCATCTCTTTCAAGTGCAGCAAGCTGCTAAGTCTCGTTTAACTCTGCGTGAGAGAAACTCTTCATCGTTGACCGAACTATATAACTCATCCAAGTGTCTAGTTTCTTTTGTTCTGTGCAAGGCTACGCAGTCCTAGCAGAGAATCTTTCAAACCTGTGACTACTCGCTGATGTGTCTTTCGTTTAACTGAATCTGTTAGCAATGAAAATATGCGATAAAAGGACTGGTCCTGCGTCATGCTGTGGCGTCTACTTCGCCCTATTGATGAGAGTGCAATAAATGAGCGGCTAGTCCGCTTCTAAGCCACTTAATGAGCGGCTAGTCCGCTTGGCCATAAAAATAAGAGCGGCTAGTCCGCTTCGCGTAGTACATCCTGATATCTACTAAAGAAGAAAAACATAATCCTGCATGGTTCTGACCCAAACAAAACCAACAACAAAATGAACGGTGTAACATTATGAGTAAGAAGCAGCCCAGGTCTTGCAAGTCTCCGCAAGTCTGTGCGACACTGATGATCAGCTTCTGACGGATTACGTCAATGCATGGACTACGTCCTTGTTCGAACTTCAGATGTACTCGATATATTTGCGGACCTGCCCGGCAAAGCTTGCGCTTCTGGTTTTGGACCCGGCGGAAGAACCTTCCGTCAAGATTGTACAGAACAAGGTCTTGATGGAGTGCAGGAAAGAATGGGAGACAATCTTGAGTTTGGAAGAGAACGCAAACCTCAATGGTGTTCTCCGACAACTTTGCCCGCACACACGATATCGCTGTCTGCGTGAACCACTCACGTGTCTTGAGCAGACTGATTTTGTTGTGACTGAAGATGCAAAGTTGATGATTCTGGCCTGGTATCCGAAAGTTGCACACTCGGCTAATGTGGAGGGCATCTTTAACTCTTTGGAGGACACCATCAAACGCTCGATGAAGAGCAACAACCCAAGCCTTCCGAACATTCAGTGTTCTGCAATCAAGGCCGTGAACCACAAACTTTGTCAGGGAGAAAACGCTGCCAGCAGCATCAGTTTGGGCCCACCAGATTTTGAGGGCAACGAGATCCGATGCATTCGTCCGAGCGTGTTCAGGCCGGAGTCCTATCAGGGAAGCAACTCTCCTGGACCGATAACTAATGTTTGCCGGAGCCTATAGTGACCTGTCTAATGCCCTTGAAAATTAGAATACTACTAAGTCAGTAAAATAGCACACGCCTGCTTTGCAAACAATCACAGAGACCCAGGTTCTTTGTTTCGAATGGAGGACATTTTGAAACCGTTCGGCAGCACCTCTGCGTTTTACCACAACAAAGTCAACTTGAACTATCTCAGAGGCTTCGTTCTCTCTAGACAGAGCCTCGTCTTGAATAACACAATCGACCCAATAATGATATGTCCATCTGATGTGTAGATCGTCTATTAACAAAGTCAAAGAACAATCAGCACAGGCAAGGGATGGACCCCGTGCAGTGCTACCAGAACTTCTGGGTGGCGGGCATGGTGCAGAGGGGTATGTTGCTGAAAATGGATGGCGAATGGCTTCTCGCACTGGGATGCACTCCGGCCCTCATGTACGCCGCTTGCCTTTAAGAAGCTAGACCTGAGCTGAACTGCAATTTAAACGAGACTGCTTGCGGCTAGTCCGCACCCTATGCAGGTTTGCAATCTTGGCAATCACTGTGCCGCCCTAGCTACATACATCCTGTTGATTCTATTTGCACCAAGGCTGTGCAGCTAGAAGAACTGGATCTTATGTTCTTGGGCGCCCTGCCGCCTGTGAAAACTGATGAGAGGAAAATCCCGAACGTGGAAACGACAAGCAGAAGAAGGGACCCGCTGCAGAATGGAGAGCAAGTGAAAGCTTTGATGGTGACAACTAAAAGGCTGCTAGACAAGCAGAAAAAGTAGTCCTGTCCTTGCACATGTGAGTCATATGAATCTTCTCGCATTAAGCAAAAAGAGGCCCTTCATCAAGGAAAAGCTTCTGGAGCTTGGCAAGGCACCTTCGATTTTTGTCTGTTGTTCCTCTAGAAATAGTGACGATTCAAGTAAACAAACACGGAGGTCGAGGTCTTCGACTACACTCTGCATTCCGCTTGCAGCCGTTTGACAGCAAAGCTGGACAATACTCTTCTATTTCGAAGGAGTATGTCTGGACACACGCTGCTGACAAGCCTGATGCGAGACAAAACAATTCTGAAGGTGAACAGCGATGTTCTCACCAAATTGTTAGACAACTGCGGAGTTCGTATACGGAGGAATTCCACCAAATCGGCAAAGATCAGAGGACTGATGCGCCTCCCGGAGGTCACCGCCTTTTGCAGACCGGAAGAATTGGAGGACCTTGAAAAGGCACTGGAGGAACATGACAAGAGACGTAGAAAGAAAAGGGGGGGCGACAACGACGATGGAGATGAAGATGAAGAAGGGGAGGCGTCGTGTGACTGTTGAAAAAAAACATGTTCTCAACAACCATGCAACAATTTAGAAAACAAGGCAGACGCAATGAACATGGAAGAGACAGATCCGGCTGTGGAGCTGGCGCAGCAGATGCTTCAGGCCATGGATGACGAAGAGGACAGGGTCTCGAAACGACTGAACATGTAACAGACATATGCTGCCTGCTGCGCACGCATGCGTCTATCGTTTTCGTATGTTGTAAGTGCCAGACAACAACTCTTGCAATTAAACAATCCTTAAATTGAGTGGTCTGTTTGGTGTAACAAGATGATTCATGAAAATAAATCCTTCATGTCCAGGACATTGATGAGGACCCGGAGAAGAAGCCGGCAGAGGGGCAGGCCGAGACAACGATTTTGGCTGAGCCTGAGAATGCTGGAACAGCAAACGAGGCTTCGTCGAGCTCCCAGGCCCCACAGGCAGCAGTGGAGGAGAGAACAAGAGAGAGCCGACAGACGCTTTCGAGAAGCACTGCAGTTCCGGCCTGGTTGTACGACCACTATGACATGCCCAGGGAGGTGACCATCTCTCATGTTAAACACAAAAGCACACTCCTGCCCCATTTTGCAGCTCGCCTGCCTCAAGGCCTCATGCACAACGGGAAGTATCGTGTCTCAAATATCATCATCCTTTTTGTTCGCAGGAAATGAAACACTGTCAGTGCCTGTTTGTCTATTGCTCGCACAAGGGTGTAATCATCTGAGGCACTCTACATCGGCAAGCTATAATCCACAGGTGGAAGAAGCGAAAATAGATACGCGGGCAACAAGCATCGAGCTGATGACCGCCAGAGATCGGTCGATGCTGCAAGCCTGGTACATGCTGTTTTGTTGGTCTTGCGAGGGCCTGAAGAACAAGAGGCGCCGAACGGACGGTTGAGAAAAAAAAGGTACTGGCGAGAGTGCATCGCCACTGCACAATGCAGTCTTCTTGTCCCTTAAGGGTTGGCGATATAACTACCTAGTCGCCGGCAATGCTAGAGGATTTTAACTTCAGTTTGGTGCTGCAATGCCCTTTGCAGAATGACACATTACCAAAGGCCCATGCAGAACCATAATCCCATCTAGAACCCCGGCCCATCCAGCATTGCAATGGAACCCTATGACCTAAACCTTAAACCCTGAACCCTAAACCCTAAACCCTAAACCCTATTCAGGGCCCAGCGCCTCGAACGCAAAAAAAAGCCTACAGCAACAGCAACTGCCGAGGAAGGGCGATACCTTTAGCTGGCCCCGCTACCTGAACACCGTCGGGCTCCTCGTGATGTCTCTTGGCTTGCTTCTGAACCCTAAACGCTCATAAACCCTACACCCTAACCCCCAAACCCCAAACCCTAAACCCCTAAACCCTAAACCCCTAAACCCTAAACCCAAGGTTTGGCTATCTGGCCGTTTGCATGGCCCTGTCTCGGCCCATCCACTGTGGCCTGGTCATTCTTTGAGGGGCTTGGGGTTTAGGGCTTGGGGTTTAGGGTTTAGGGCTTAGGGCTTAGGGCTTAGGGCCGAGTTCACGCATGGCTTACAGAGCTTGGGCAAGTGTTGCACACGGTTTGGATTTTTTCCCTTGCCCTGTGCTGCTACTACGGTAGACAACTCCACAACCATGGGCTAAATAGCCCAGGCCTTCGAGTGTCCTGATCCCTTTTGGGGTACCCTAAATATTACGTAGGCTCCGTATTATCATAGGGATCCTTCAAAAAGGGACCCGAATTTTGACAACCACCCGTTTCTAGACCCTAAACCCTAAACCCTAAACCCGAAACCCTAAACCCAAGATCCTTTGATCCAGGTCTGTCGAACCCGAATGGCACTCAGAGCATGAAGTCCTTCCCTGCGATGATCTGCTGGACGGATGCGCACATCATCTCAGCTGTGCAATCCATCTTCGGTCTGCTTGCATCTCAGAAAGGCTTAGTCACCGTTGATTATAGGGTTTGGGGTTTAGGGCTAGGGTTTAGGGTTTAGGGTTTTAGGGTTTAGGGTCTAGGGTCTGGGGTCTAGGGTTTAGGGTTTAGGGTTTAGGGTTTAGGGTTGGGGTTTAGGGTCTAGGGCTGCGGGATACACTCAACCTGTACGCGCAAGCCCAAGCATCATCGCAGCAACAAGCTGTATGTTCGACAAGGCTCGTTTTGACGTGACCTGTAGGGCTACCTACGCTGCCATGCCTTGAGACGGCTGTAGAAAGGTATTTGGCTGCGGATTCCTCGCCTACATCATCCAGGCCGCTCGATGAAGCAGTTGCAAAAAAGCGGCTTCTTAGCACCCTCCACCCCTCAACCCCTAAACCCTAAACCCGATACCACATGCCTATAACCTGTACCCTATGCATCTTAAACCCTATACCCTAAGCCCTAAGCCCTAAACCCTAAACCCTAAACCCTAAACCCTAACCTGGAAACCCCCTGGAAGTATCACAGGTGGTCTGGCGCTACCCCACGCTGGTGGAGACTGGACATGGCCTCAAGCTCCTAACGCAGTACCACTTCCTGTTCCTCAGACGAGTTGAGGGATCTAAAGAACCCTAAACCCTAAACAGCAAACCCTTAACCCTTAACCCTAAACCCTAAGCCCTAAGCCCTAAGCCCTAAGCCCTAAGCCCTAAGCCCTAAGCCCTAAGCCCTAAGCCCTAAGCCCTAAGCCCTAAGCCCTAAGCCCTAGGCCTTGCTTTGGGAAGCCTAGGCTTGAGACTACGTTTAAGGGCCCGAAGCCCTGAACCTGCCTGGAGGTCCAGCTGTAGGGTTTAGGGGTTCAAGGGTTCAAGGGTTCAAGGGTTCAAGGGTTCAAGGGTTCAAGGGTTCAAGGGTTCAAGGGTTCAAGGGTTCAAGGGTTCAAGGGTTCAAGGGTTCAAGGGTTTTGGGTTTAGGGTTTCGGGTTTAGGGTTTAAGACTTGCTGAACTACCTGATGCCCTTAACTTCCGCTGCACAACTGGGCGCCTGGCTCTCATCCGCCGAGGTTCAACCGCTTCGGCAGCCACGCCTACTATTGGGGTGGCTTTGGTCAATTTTAGGTCAATTTTAGGGGTTTAGGGTTTAGGGTTTAGGGTTTGGGGTTTGGGGTTTGGGGTTTGGGGTTTAGGGCTCGGGGGTGTGTTGGACCTGTGGACACAGGTCACCTGGGAAGTCGTTCTGAGACCCTACACCCTAAGCCATAAACCCGAAACCCTAAACCCGAAACCCTAAACCCTAAACCCTAAACCCTAAACCTACTGCAAGGCCATGACTTCCACATTCGGGGCAAGGCATCGACGTTCGCGTTGTGGGCTACGCTATTGGGGGTTGCAATGAGAGCAGCGCATCCTGGAAGAGAGCCCCATAAACCCTCAAAATCCGTCCAAAACCCTGCGTCAACCTGAACCCGATTTACCCTAAACCCTAAACCCTAAACCCTACACCCCCAGGTCCCTACTTCATTTCGCAGAAGCTGTTCGTGGCTGTGGTACCCATTGTCTTCGCCGACAGCGCGATTGTGCAGATCATGCTCCTGTCCCTTCTCATGGCGACCTCGTCTGCAAGACCCCCAGAAATTAAAAAATGTCTGGCCGGAACCCCAAAGACCTTTCAACACTGAACAACCTTAAACCCTGAACCCTGAACCACCCTAAACGCCACAACCCTGCCTGTGGGTTCGGTGTTGGGAGAAGGAGCCCTGGAGACGAAGAATTTTAATGCAAATCCACCATGATGCGCCGGAACCAAAAGGCTTCCAAAAGAGGAGCCCAAAAACTCGGGGTTCACGGCTTAGGGTTCAGGGGTTTAGGGTTTAGGGTTTAGGAAGCAGCATACAGCAACCCTGGGCCCTAAACTTTCAGGCCCCCGTATTCGCCCCTCTTCTCACCCGAGGTCATCTACCTGTCATCCTGCTGCCACGTGAAGCCCTGGGCGACGTACCTCGCCAACCTGGCGGACGTGTTCTTGAACATCGGCCTGCTGCTTCTTGGACCCCCAAGTCTGCAAGCTTTTCCGCCTTCCATGTCTTGTTCGTTTATTAACAGTTGCCCGTAGCCCTAAACCCTGAACCCTAGACCCTAAACCCTGAACCCTAAACCCTATATAAACCCCTCCTCCACCACCGGATCGAACGCAGTCAAGCGCAAAACCCGTGTCGGGGTCCCCTTCCCATTCCTCCCCGGGGCCCAAGAAAAGACACAGGCTGATGTTGCTGATCGCCGCATTCCTTGCAGACTCTGCCAGCCTTGATAGCAGGCGAGGCACACACGAAGCATCCTACTGGACACCTTGAGGGAGGTCCGTTGTCGTTTAGAACGCATCTGCTTGGATTTGTTGTGGTTGACAAGTGTGTTGCTATTTCGCAGCAGTTTGTCGGTGTTTCGCCTCGTGTTTCAAGACGTTTGTTTGCTGGGGCAAACATGAACTGCCTGGACCGCCAAATCCCTGCAAACCGACGAACAGAGACCCTAAACCCTAAACCCTAAACCCTGCACCCTAAACCCTAAACCCTAAACCCGAACCCCCAAACCCCTAAACCCTAAACCCCTAAACCCTTTTTAGGGGTTGGGGTTTAGCTCAGAGGCTGAGATGAACTAAAACCTTGGGAGCCCACTGGTGCCCTTTACCCTTTTGTTTTTCGGGTTATGGGTTTCCTTCTTAAAGCAACCCTAAACCCTAAACCCTAAACCCTAAACCCTAAACCCTAAACCTAAACCCCAAACCCTAAGCCCTTTACCCTAAACCCTACAAACTCCATGATCTGAGCCCGAAACCCTCAACCCTAAAACCTAATTGTAAGCTGGCTACTGGGCTACCAAGAAAAAAGCAACGCCAGGAGCAAGCTGAGCGTCATCCTCGTGATCATGCTTGTTGCGATTCTCGGCTCCTCCCTTTCGCAGCCCCTTCTTACTTCGCCAACAGCTGAACTTTAATCTTTTTGGGTTTACTTATTGCGTAGGAATAATGAAATTTATTGAACTTTTTGGGTTTCCTTATTTCGTAGGAATCATAAAGTTTAACCTCTTTTCCCCTTGGCCATTGCAGAAGTAAGGCCTCAGAAGCCCGAAGCCCTCAAGCCCCAAAAGCCCTAAAAGCCCCAAAGCTTGGGATGCTCCCCCCTTCTACGAACAGCCCTTAAAAGGGATCTGAGTACCCCCTATTCTTGGTGGCCCAGTGGTACCCTTTACCCTTTTTTGGTTTATTGCTTCCCTGAAAAAATAGCCAACCAAAAATGGGTGCCCTTATCATAAGATGGTTACTGGGCTACCGAGTTTTAGAATCCCGATTAAGCACTGTTAGTATAAAAGGGGAACACGAAAGCCCCAAATGCTCGCAGCTATGATCACCACCACGTCGTGGTCACCATGTTGCAGGGCCACTGCTTGAGGTCAGCAGGGGGCCCTAGACTCTGAACTCCTAAACCCTAAACCCTAAACCCTAAACCCTAAACCCCAAACCCTGAACCCTAAACCCTGAACCCCAGAACCCTGAGTTCATTGCGGTAGAAGGAATACGTATTTCCTTAAGTGCCATTGGGCTTCTGGGTGTACAAAGGCCCTTCCGAAGCTCTTTTAGCACCCAAGCGCTTAAGGGGCCCCTAGATCTCCCAGTGGGACACCTTTTTCCTCTCCTAAACCCTAAACCCTAAACCCTACACCCCAAACCCCAAACCCCAAACCCCCAACCCTAAACCCTAGCCCACACATCCAAACAGCATGCATTTCAGGATAATGTCGGGAATCGCTCTCCTGGCCAGCTTCGCGTTGAGCAAGAAGCTGTTCCCGGGCGACTTGGTGGACTTTGTAGCCCAGTGGTACCCTAAAACCCTAAACCTTAAACCCTAAACCCTATACCCTAAACCCTATACCCATTTGGTCCAAGCTTCCAGCAACAAACCCCAAAACAGGGTACCCTTGATGATAGGATCGTTACTGGGCTACCCAGTGAACTGTTGGCCGTGGCAAGAACCACAGAACCCTTTCCTTGTAGCTTCGAAAACAATGTGGGCGCCCCCCAACTAGGATGCCCAGTAGTACCCATATTCCCTTTTTTGGGGGGTTTAGGTTCCCTTATAAACCCCTTTAAGCAAAAAAGGGCACCCTTTTTAAGCCTAGGTTACTGGGCAGCCTAGCCAAAGACCTGTGGTCTGAGGGTAGTTAAATTGCCTTTGAGGCAGGGCTTCCAGATGTTGTGGGCTCAGAGTGACTAACCTGTCGTTCCAATCCCGCTCCACCGCCAAGCATTGGGGGCTTTAGCGTTGAAGAGCCCACAACCTACTTGTTTGTAGGTTCTTTTTACCCCTTACTGCAAAAGAGTAGGGTTTATCGGGTTAAAGGTGTTTAGGGTTTAGGGTTTAGGGCTTAGTAGGGTGGATAGGCTTAATTAGGGCTAAGTAGTAAGATTTGTACGTTTTGGGTATGTCAGTGGAATCTTCTGGCCAGCCCAGAACACGATGCAAGAACAGAGCGGCCTGATCGTCCTACATCCCAAGTCCTACCACTCAGGCAAGCTTTTTGAAATGCTAGAAGACAACTTCCTGCCCTGATGATAGCTCAAGCAAACCCTATGCAAGTACATTCGGTGTGCCAAACCGTGGGTCAAACCCTAACGTTTGGGAGAAAGTGTAAGTTTTAGGGGCTTAGGATAGCTTAGTCTCCGCATGTCTCAGGCAAAATGTATGACTACTTCCTCTGCCATCACAAAGCAGGCGCCAAGCAGCTCTTCACCTTTTGACCCCAGAAATGTCTGAATCTCTTCACCCCGAAGGGGTTTAGAAACCCTAAACCCTAAACCCTAAATTTGTATATTGGGGGGGGGGGGGGAAGCTGTCGGGTTCTGGGTCGATGCTTTGGGGGGGACTGAGGGATGCCCTGACCGCAAGCAGCCGAACATAAGGTTGTGGCGGACAGTGGATTTCAGAGCTCAAGGGGTTTAGGGTTTAGGGTTTAGGGTTTAGGGTTTAGGGTTTAGGGTTTAGGGTTTAGGGTTTAGGGTTTAGGGTTTAGGGTTTGGTTTAGGTTTCAGGTTTCAGGGTTCAGGGTTCAGGGTTAGGGTTTAGGGTTCAGGGTTCAGGGTTCAGGGTTAGGGTTTAGGGTTTAGGGTTTAGGGTTTAGGGTTTAGGGTTTAGGGTTTAGGGTTTAGGGTTTAGGGTTTAGGGTTTAGGTTTAGTTTAGGGTTTAGGGTTTAGGGTTTAGGGTTTAGGGTTTAGGGTTTAGGGTTTAGGGTTTAGGGTTTAGGGTTTAGGGTTTAGGGTGGGTTTATTTTCGGACGTGTATCTACTTAAATAGTAAATGGTCCCTGCCCCCCCCCCCCCCCCCCCCCCCCCACCTCCGCCCCCCCCCCCTCCCGCCCCCCCCCACCTCCGCCCCCCCCCCCACCTCCCGCCCCCCCCCCCCCCCACCGCCCCCCCCCCCCCCCCCAGCCTACTTCGGGGACTTCGGGGGCTTGCAAGTACAGTTCTAAGTGGGGCTATCTGTAAACATGAACCTCCCAGTCCAAGGGTGTTGGGCATTGCCTGCTGATTCTAGATTCTAAACCCTAAACCCTAAACCCCAAACCCTAGACCCTAAACCCTAAACCCTAACCCTAAACCCTAAACCCTAAACCCTAGAGCATGGCAGGTGCAGGGACCATGTGCCGATGGATGAAGGGCGAGATGCTGAAGCAGCATCTTGCCTTGCCTTGTAAAGAGAGGACTTTACTGTGCTCTTCAACAAGTTGCCATCATAGAGGTGATGAGACGAGATAGTAAACAGTGTTAGGGTTTAGGGCCTGAGGGAGTCCTATTCTAGCACGGAGAATTATATCAGATGTGGTCAGTTCTCAAAACTATGGTCCCTTTTTGGGGTAATTTGGCATGTATAGTGACCCCAAGAAGGACCATAGTTTAGAAAAGCGACCATGTAGCGTACCCAGCAAGGCATCATACTTCAGAGAATGTGTCAGCTTCGGGGAGGGCTTAGGGAAGTTTAGGGCTTAGGGTTTAGGGTTTAGGGTTTAGGGTATAGAGTTTAGGGCTTAGGGTTTAGGGTTGCGGGTTTAGGGGGTGTGGTGTGTTTTTTTGCAGGTTGGGAGCTTCAGGGGTTTACGGGCTCAGGAAGTTCGTGAGTTAGGGCGTTGGTTCTTCGGGGTAGCTTCAAGCAGGGTCTGGGGGTTTCAGGGCATTAGGTGGGTTGTTGAGGTAGGGCCTTAGGGTCTTGGGGTTTGGGTTTTTGGGGCCAGGAAACGAAGCACTAAAAAACCTCAAACCCTAAACCCCAAACCCCAAACCCTAAACCCTAAAACTCCTAACCGTCGAGAGCAGCTGGGAGGTCGCACCGTGTCAAAGTCTTCCTCGACTCGGATCCTTGCCTGGTTTACGCATTGGGATATTGTAGAAATTTCCCTTGTTGCGTATGAAGAGGACCATATTTAGGAATATGTTTCAGAGGGTGTTTTAGGGGCCATGCCATAGTTTATGTACTCATCTGCGAATGAAATACTGACTCCAGGTTAAGGTTGTCGTGACGGGTTACATAGAGTTGACAGGGGAGGGCCAAACCCCCAAACCCCAGTGGGTTTTGGGGGTTGACTTGCTGCCGGCTCTGGGATTTTCAGCAATCCTGACCGGCCCCAAGTCCCTACCCCCCCCCCCCCCCCACACACCCTGCACCCCAAGCCCGAAGCCCTAAACCCTAAACCCTAAACCCTAAACCCTAAACCCTAAACCCTAAACCCTAAACCCTAAACCTAAATCTCTTGCCCTCAAGCCCATGAGCACATAGCTTCGGGACCGAGGGACATGTAGGGTTGAGGGGGTTCAGGGGGTTCAGGGGGTTCAGGGGGTTCAGGGGGTTCAGGGGGTTCAGGGGGATGTCTAGAAGTTAGGTTCACAACGGCTTTCGGATTGTTGGAGCTGAGGGTTCACGGTTGAAAGATGCACCTTCCTGTATGGCTTGACGGTAGGTTTCGGGTTTAGGGCAGGGACCTAGATAAAACCCTAGACCCGGATTGAGACTTCCTTGGTTGGGGGGGGGGGGCTAGCGCTCTTGTTGCAGAATGGAAAACATAGGCTTTGGCACCCGCAGCGTGAACAACAAGTGGCCAGGGTATAACCCTAAACCCTAGTCCCTAAACTGTCAAACGTGATCGAGGCAATCCCAAAAGCCCTGAAGCCCTCAACACCCCAAACCCCAAAACCCAAAATGAAATTCGAAACATCCCTTCGAACCCTAAACTTCAAAAACCTTAAACCCGAAACCCCTAAACCCCTAAACCCCTGAACCCTAAACCCTAAACGCTAACATGCCTGGAATGAAAGCTGTATGCCCCTATGTACTATAGGATGAGTTCCAAACACCCTTTACGGTTTGGGGTTTAGGGTTTAGGGTTTATGGTTTAGGGTTTAGGGTTTAGGGTTTAGGGTTTAGGGTCCCAAAGACCCATCGGCTAAGGACGAGCTGGAGGGCTTGGCGGAAGCTCGGCGCAAAGCCTGCCCTGAGCGACCTCCACGGGATGAAAAGGGGTGTATGCGAGTAAACCCTAAACCCTAAACCCTAAACCCTAAACCCTAAACCCTAAACCCTAAACCCTAAACCCTAAACCCTAAACCCTAAACCTAAACCCTATACCCTAAACCCCCGCTTCTGGGTTTATTTAGAGCTTAGGCCTCACGGTTTAGGGGTTACTGTAGGGCTTTAGGGTTTCAGGGCTTCATTCAGGGTTTTGGTCTCTCAGGGGTTCAGTGCGTAGTTCAAGTCAAGGACCCCCAGTGCCCGAAGGGGCAAGCTCATGGGGTAAACCCGAAACCTAGCCCCTAACCCTGAAGCATCTATATCTTAATGCATATACACCTTAAATCTTATAAACCCGAAAGCATCTATACCTCAAAGCATTTATACCTCAAAGCCACAGGCTGCACAGGCTTCGCCACTCGGCCCAAGACTTCTCGACAGTCCTTTTGCGGCGCGTCTAAGCTCGGAGTACCTAATATGCCCTCGAGATGTAAACCCTAAACGCTAAACCGTCTAAACCCTAAACCCTAAAACTCTAAACCCTAAACCCTAAACCCTAAACCGCCTGTTTTCTGGCTGCTTTCTTGAGGACATCGGCGACATCGTCAAAAGCCAGACCGGGACGCTGGTCATCGTCGCCACGAAGCTGGTGCTGACCAGACCATGGTGTGCTGTGGAGACGCTTACTTTCGCAAGGTCTAAGGTCTAGGGGTTTAGGGGTTTAGGGGTTTAGGGGTTTAGGGGCTTAGGGGTTTAGGGGTTTAGGGGTTTAGGGGCTTAGAGGTTTAGGAGTTTAGGGGCTTAGGGGTTTAGGGTTTTAGGGGTTTAGGGGCTTAGGGGTTTAGGGGCTTAGGGTTTTAGGGGTTTAGGGGTTTAGGGGTTTAGGGGTTTATTGGGGGTTTCGGGGTTTAGGGGTTTAGGGGTTTAGGGGTTTAGGGGCTTAGGGGCTTAGGGGTTTAGGGGTTTAGAGGTTTAGGGTTTCAGGGCCTGGTGTTCCTGATCGCACACCTTGTAAGACGGATCCAAAAACGCATTTCGGCCCCAAGTAGATATTCAGTCGGAACCTTTAGGATGGTCGAGTATTGGGTTCTGCAAGGGACGTCAGCAGCGCAGGACTCTCAACCCTAGACCCTGAACCCTATCACATCTTAACGAACAGTGGGTCGTCTGGGAAACCCCTAAAACCTAAACCCTGAACAGGCTAACCCTGTGTAATTAACCCTACAACCCTACACCTTAACCCGAAACCCTACACCCTAAACCCTAAACCCTAAACCTTAAATCCTAAACCCTAAACCCTAAACCCTAAACCCTAAACCCTAAACCCTAAACCCCACGCAAGGATCACGAGCGCGGTCAACAACAAGATTGAGATCGTGATGGCAGCTTGGCGCGATTTGCCAAAACGCCGCTCCGTTGGGAGGGTTCAGAACTTTACCATTTGCTGCGGAACCGCCCCCCCCCCCCCCCAAAAAAAAAACAGACAAAACAATTACACATATTCTTCCTTATATAGTTTTTTTTTACTTGCATTAAAATTGTTCAGGGTTCTTAAGCAAATAGTAGAACTGGGGGCTAAGGGTTTAGCGTTTAGGGTGGGGTTTAGGGTTTTAGGGCTTAAGGTTTTGGTTTCGGTAACCTTCAGAGCTTAGGGTTCAGGATGTGAAGAGTTGGACCTTGACGCCTGGACCCTAAATAGCTTCAACCCTAAACAGCACTACCCACATGACAGCGGAAACTCTAAATCCTAACAGGTGTGCAAAAAAAATGTTTATATATACATATATATATATATTGATTTCATTTTTTTATTTCTATTTATGTATAATTTACAATAAAAACCTTTGTGTGCGTGTGTGTGTGTGTGTGTGTGTGTGTGTGTGTGTGTGTGTGTGTGTGTGTGTGTGTGTGTGTGTGTGTGTGTGTGTGTGTGTGTGTGTGTGTGTGTGTGAGTGTGTGTGTGTGTGTGTGTGTGTGTGTGTGTGTGTGTGTGTGTGTGTGTGTGTGTGTGTGTGTGTGTGTGTGTGTGTGTGTGTGTGTGTGTGTGTGTGTGTGTGTGTGTGTGTGTTTGTTTGTTTGTGTTTTTGAAGCAAAACAGCTTATAAGTTTCTTTCTTAGACTTCACCATGTTCAGCACATGTTAATGCAATTTTATTGTCTGGAGTTGACAGGAACTGAACATGATTAAAAACCCTAAAACCTCAAAACCCTAATCCTTAAACCCTAGAAACCTAAACCTGAAACCCTAAAAGCCTGCACCCGAAACCCTGAACCCTCAAAACCTTGATTGCCCCGAACTTGGGGGAAGTCTTGTGTGCTGCCGGTACTTTCAGGATCCTCATTGTCAACAGACGACAAATGCAGGGGAACTTTGTTTCGATGTTGTTTATACACAAAAAGCCCCAAGGCAAAAATATTTAAATATTCTGGACGTTTTTTTTTGTTGGGTGGGGAGGGGGGGGGGGTTGTGATACGCGGGGCTGCAATACGCCAGTACTTGGGGTTGCAAGTAATCAAGTAATCACCCCGAATTAAGCTGCATATCTCCCCCCATTTCTTACATCTAACTCGGCTATGCCAGCGCCAACTCGGAGGTGGAGCTGACCACCTTCAGCCATTACGACGAGGAAGGCTTCGCAACCCTGCGCGAAGGCCTTGCTTGGGCCTTGGGTCAGGGTTTGAGGGATTGAGGGTTTGAGGTTTTAGGGTTTAGGGCTTAGGGTTACTCCCCTTGCCTCCTGCCCCCGCTCCCGAAAGCGAGTTTTGAATTTCCTCACAAGCCCTTGGTAAGGAACACGGGGGAGCGGGGACATAGGGGACTCTTTGATGTTTCTGAACCCCTCCCTCGTCAAGGCTGGGGCAATGCAGACATCATGATCTTTGCCCAGAATGCGATCAACCCCGGCATCGTGGAGGACGCATTTGGGCCGTGAGCCCATAACCCTCAACCCTGAGCCCTGAGCGTGGGTTTAGGGTCTAGGGCTTAGGGTTTAGGGTTTAGGGTTTGGGGCTTGGGGTTTGAAACCAAACAAGCCAAACCCCAAACCCCAAGCCGCAAACCCGTTATCAAGGCGGTGGGGGAGGCGCAGGGCTATACTCCTCTACAAAACTCTAGGCCACTGTGAGGTTTCCCGAAAGGGGGCCTCGAAGACTGTGGATGTTGTAGGGTTTAGGGTTTAGGGCTTAGGGCTTAGGGCTTAGGGCTTAGGGCTTCGGGCTTAGGGCTTAGGGCTTAGGGCTTAGGGCTTAGGGTTTAGTAGGGTTTAGGGTTTAGGGTTTGGGGTTTAGGGTTTAGGGTTTGGGGTTTAGGGTTTAGGGTTTAGGGTTTAGTGTTTCCCATCTTTAGGGTTTATGGTTGGGCCTGTGGGGTTAACGGTACCCAAAGTCCTGAACAAACTCTCCGAACCTGAATGCCTGCCGGTGTGTTGTTGAATACCCGAAGCCTCCAAGGACCTTGCCTTTGGACCCAAAACCCCCAAACCCTAAACCCTAAACCCTAAACCCTAAACCCTAAACCCTAAACCCTAAACCCTAAACCCTAAACCCTAGGGTTTCATTATGTACGTCTTGGGGATTTAGGTTTTCGGGTCCACAGTCCATATAGGGGGGTGCCGACTCTCGCGTTCCCATAACCAAGAAGGTTAAGGGTTTAGGGTTTAGGGTTTAGGGTTTAGGGTTTAGGGTTTAGGGTTTGGGGTTTAGGGTATTTAGGCCACTTGTTTTGCTGGTGTGAGCCCTTATTGCGGGAAGTGCCTTTTTCGAGAACTGGGCATCTAGCAGCTAGCAGCTTCGACGACTGGTTGCCAAGATGGCTTCGCTGGAGTCTTGAATCCCCCAAAACCCCTCAAAACACCCCCAAAAGCCCTGAAGCCCTAAGCCTTAAACCCCACCCCCAACCCCCCAACCTGAAAATCTCAGATTCACATCATGGGTTAGGGTTTAGGGTTTAGGGCTTGGGCTTAAGGACGCCTTTAATTTCAGGCCCCACATGCCCGGAGACATCGTTCGCGCTAACCTTGACGCTATCCGGCAAGGGCTCGATCCGTCGAGGTTTCTTCGTAAGGGCCGCCACACTATATTTGCCTTCTGTTTACGTCCACAAAGGCCGAGGCCCGGACTGGAAAGGGGGCAAAGCTCTCCTCTCAGCAGCGGCGGAGTCCGACATTGTCCACATCGACGATCAAGACGTGATCAGCCGGGACATACTTGAAGGTTCATGGTACTTACTGGTTATAAGTACAGTTATAATTGGTTAGTAAGTACCATGAACCTCCAAGTAGGCCAATATAATCGGCTGTCTGGCGTGACGTGGTCCTTGAGCGACTCCAGGTCATTGGACCAAGTGCTGTGGGAGGAGTGAAGGTTTTTATTTATGTAGGGCCTTAAAGAGACGATGAATTTCCCTTCTTGGGTTCAAGAGGATCACTTTCAGGAATATTTTTTCGGAGGGCTATGAGGGCCATCCTAGTTATAGAATATTTATTTGGGTGCCATATAGGGGAATATAGAACACCCTGCTGGAAACTTCGCAGAAAAAGGTGGGGCTAGACGAGTCGGGAAGCGTTAGCTACAACCCAGTCTACCCTCAATTACGGCACATCCAGCCTTATGTTTATATCTACTTATGAGGGTTTAGGGTCTAGGGCTTAGGGTTGAAGGTTTAGGGTTTTGCGAAACCCTAAACCCTGAAACCCTGAAACCCTAAACCCTAAACCCTAAACCCTAAACCCTTGGGGTTTAGGGTTTAGGGCTTCGGGATGAAGAGGCCAGGGATGTTTTCTGTTTTGGATCATTGTGAGCACGGATGGTGTTGCCAAGCGCTGAAGATGTGCCATCGGGCGAGGGGTCAGGCTTTGGGGTTTAGGGTTTAGGGTTCAGGGTTTGGGGTTTGGGGTTTGGGGTTCAGGGTTTAGAACGCAGGGTTTAGTTTTTTTTGAGGTTTTGATGTTCAGGTGTAAGTTCTTACTATACATATGTACAATCCCTGAACTCTCAACCCTCATCAACCAGCCTGGAACAGGAGTGCTACCGGAAGCTGCCGTCGACGACACGGATACCCTTTGATCCTGCCGGCACCTTGCGCATCTCGTCGGCTATTCTGGCTTTGGGTTTTAGGGTTTGGGGTTTAGGGCAAGGTTCATGGATTTTCATGGGTAGATGAAGATAGGTTGCAGCAGGGTGGCGGAATGTTTGAAAAAGTAAAACTGAGATACGCTAGTGATACGCTACGTACAGCCCGAGCTCAATCTACCCATGACATTCGGGATGGCCACTGTGTTGCCTATACTTAACTTTTGTCCGGGGCTCACCCTAACCCCTAAACCTAAACCCGAAGTGCTTACTTCTGCGTGGCCTGCACACTACTCGTTGCTCGAGAGTGTTCAGCTGTGGCACGGGTGGCGTTGTCCACAGCTTTCACAGTCATTGTTGGAGCTGTGAGTGGTCGGTTGTTCCAAAACTCTTGCTGGGCTTCCAGGGCTGCACTCTTTCCTCATCTATTGGGAGTTGGTAGTCGATTACCTGGTTACATAGGTTGTCAAGGAGGGCATAACATGAAAGTGAGCTAGGTGCATGGCCCTTGTATGGTCCCTTTGGGTTCTGACGTATGGGCCTTTGGGATCTCTTTCGGGTATACATGGGGTATGGCCCAAGAAGCCCTTGTAGCTACCGTAGGACCTAGGAAAACTTAGGGCGCGTAATGGCCTGGAGCTTGAACAAGTTTTTGGGCTTATGGCTCAGGGGCAGCAGCATATCCTTTTCCAGGTTGTGGTATGTCATGGGTTTAGAGGTTAAATTTTTGGGTCCCGGTTTACTCTTGATGGGTGCGCTTAAGGGGATTCTAGTATGCGTCGGAGTGTATACCGGGACTGGCAAGGGAGGACCCGAATTTTTGCCCGAAGGCTATGAGATCTACTCTATGAACCCTAAACCTTAAACCTCAATCGTGTCATTAGCCCCTGGAATCCTATGCTTAAACCCCACACACGGAGGCGCGGGGGCGGGATAGGCGTTTTTAGGGTTTAGAGCTTCCCATACTTAGCACCCAAGTTGTGGTGATTGTAGGCCCTTCCCCTCACTCCCCATTCCATTGGGGGGCCTAACCTAAGGAACGCACCAAGAAGCCGTGGCCAAAATCCTGCGGATTCCCGGCCGCACCCACTTAAAAGCTCCCAAGACACCCTCCCCGACTTTCCCACTCGGATTGTTGTGGTCAAACCGACATCTTCTCCGAATCCTGGAAGTAGCCCATATAGTGAGAACCCTAAACCCTAGTCCCTAATACCTAATACCTAAACCCTAAACCCTAAACCCTAAACCCTAAACCTCCAAACGCCCTTAGCCCTAAACCCAAAACCCAAAACCCTAAACCCTAAACCCTAAACCCGCTTGGTGGCTTCGGAGCCTCTGTGGCTTGTGACCTAGTGAGAACGTTGGGGGGTGGGGATGGGCTGCGCCCGACACCTCCGCACCCAGGGTTTAGGGTTTAGCGTTTTGGGTTTAGGGTTTGGGGTTTGGGGTTTGGGGTTTGGGGTTTGGGGTTTGGGGTTTGGGCGGGGTTGGGTTTAGGGTTAGGGTCTTGAGGGTCTTAGGGATTTAGGAGTGAGGGGCTCAGGGGTTGGGAGTTCATGGTTTTGGGATTAGGGTCTTGCGAGAAAAAGGGATTCACGATGTAAGGGCTTTTGGGTTTACGGTTTCGGGATTTAGGCCTGTAGGGATTTCGGATTTAGGTTCTTTAGGGTTAAGGGATTTAGGGTTTAGGGGCTTTAGGGTTTGTATAGTTTAGGATATATTTTAGGGATTTAGGGATTTTCAGGCTTCAGGGCTTAAACTTTAGGGGGTCCAGAGTTTTAAGGTTCAGAGTTTGAGATGTTCGGTCGACCCTTGCTTAGGCGCAGGCCTTGAAGACAGGGTCTAGGGTGTAGGACCAACCTTAAACCCCAAAACCCCCAAACCCTAAACCCTTAACCCTAAAGCCTTAACCCTAAACGCTTTAACCCTAAACCCCTAAACCCCTTAACCCCTTAACCCCTTAACCCTAAACCCTAAACCCCTTAACCCCAAAACCCTAAACCCCAAGCCACTGGGGTTCTCAAGTTTGCCCCTCCTTGCCCTCAGAAGATCTGGGAGGTCGATGAACCCCCTAAACCCTAAACCCTAAATCCTAAACCCTAGACCCTAGACCCTAGACCCTAAACCCTACACCCCCTTATTTCGAGTCCTCAGGGTTTAGGCTCGTTAGGGCTTAGGGTGTCGGGTTTAGGTTCGCGGGTTTAGGGTTTTGGGTTTATAGGCTTTAGGCTTTAGGGTTTATAGGATTTAGGGTTTAGGGTTTAGGGTTTAGGGTTTAATGTTAACGTCGCTTTAATAAACCCCCCCCCCCAAATCTTGTTTTGGTCCCCGGGGTTTGGACGGGTCAAAAAAAAGAGACGGTGTCAATAATGAGGATTCTGGGGTCTGGGGTCTGCGGTCTGGGGGTCTAAAGGTTTTAAGTAAGGAAACCTGGCTTTGAGATCTCTGGCGGCTTCCTGAATTCCAGGACCCGAAGGATGAAGTCTTAAGCTTCAGGGATTCTTGCCTTGAGGCTTGGACCAGGACCCGAAGCCTGAAGTCTTGAGCTTAGGGGTTCTTGTCTTGAGACTTAAAGGCAGCCATTTAAACTTGAGGCTTCCTTGGTTCCCCCCCCCCTCGCCGAAATTATTATTGCCACCCATTTACTATTGTCATTTTGGAGGCCCATAAGGGGCACCCTTTCCGGACTTGTTTTCGAGCCCCGGCGGATAAGGATTTTAGTAAAGAAACCTTGCTTTCAGACCTCTGGCGGTTTTCCTGAATTCCAAGACCCGAAGGCTGAAGTCTTCAGCTTCAGGGACTCTTATCTGAAGCCTTAGAGGAACACCTGCTCCTCTGAAGAAAGAGGCCTGAAGCAGCAGTTTCTCGCAGCTCTGGAGCTGCAGCAATCCCAAGAGGCACCTGCTTCTCTGAAGAAACAGGCCTGAAGCAGCAGTTTCTCGCAGCTCTGGAGCTGCAGCAATCTCAAGAGGCACCTGCTTCTCTGAAGAAACAG